AAATGGGAAATGAACCATGACATTCTCAGGTTAGGTGTGAGTACTTCGCATAAACATGCCATTTTCTTCTTCCACGACCGCACAGAATTTCTTCAGCCGTATCAAACAGCAAAGGTGGAAGACAGAAGGGCCTCAGCTTCCTGGGCTCGCCCTGCGGCCCGGGGTCTTCAGCCCACCAGGACCCTGTCAGTCATGTGGACCTCCAAGGCTGGCTCCCAACACCTCATGGGTCCCTCTTCGTGGTCCCCACGCTGAGAGGGCTGGGAGTGATGACTGGGATGGAGTCCAGGCACCCTGCAAGCGCCTCGTGACCCTGCCCAAGCTAGCATGGCCTGTAAGCCACGGACCAGCCGAGATCTGGGTGGGGAGTGTGCTGGTTCTCCCTGTTGGAAGAGTGCTTTCCATCCCCCTGCCCCCTAGGGACTTGCTGGCAGTTGGGTGTGAACATGCAGCTTGTGAAGAGCCAGTCCCCAGAGGTCACGTCCTGGACATTGCTGGTTATGACCTTCTTGGAGGGCGGAGATTCCTGGCTGGCAATATCAGGGTGGGTGAAGGGGATGGTGACCACAGAGAGAGTTCTCGGTGGTGCTGGCATGTTCTGTGCCTTGTTCATGGCAGAAGTTTCATGCGTCTGTACCTGTGACAGCATTTATATAGCGCGTGTGTGCGCGCGCACGCACACACACACACACACACACACGTGCAGTGAAACTGGAGAACTTGGAACGGAGTCTGCAGGTTGAACCAGTGTCTGTTTCATAGTTGTGACACTGCACTATGACTTTGTAAGATGTTACCTTCAGGGAAACTAAGTAAAGGGTATGGAAGGCTGATTAGTAATATTTTTACAATTTCTTGGGAATCTACAATTTCAAAATAAAAACTCTCAAAAAAAATTAACGTCCTCTCTGGAAAAGGATTACACTGCCCCATTTCCTCTGATTTGCTTTTTCTAACAAATGTGAACTCTGGCCATCCAGTCCGTGAGTGGGGCAGGGCCACGCCTACCTGCAGGGGACATCAAAGCGCCAAAAGTGAACCTGTACCATTGAACACCAGGCTGTGGGCTCATTTTTGCTGGAGCAAAACCCAGTGTGTCTTGACTGAGCCAGAGCGGAGGCTCAGACCTTTGGAGGCCCAGCCCTGCTCTCTTGCTCTTTCTCAGGCCCTGGCTGTCATATTTGGGACCGGTTTCTTTCTTTTCTTTTTTTTGAGTCAGAGTTTCACTCTGTTGCCCAGGCTGAAGTGCAGGGGCACGCTTACGGCCACGGCCACCACAGCCTTGATCTGCTGGGCTCAGGTGATCCTTACACCTCAGCCTTTCAAGTAGCTGGAACCACAGGTGCGTACCATCATGCCCGGCTGATTCTTTAATTTATTGTAGAAATGAGGTCTTGTCATGCTGCTCAGGCTGGTCTTGAGCCGCTGGGCTCAGCCTCCCAAAGTGCTGGGAGTATAGGCATGAGCCACCACGCCCGCTTGGGACCAGTTTTAATGTGCTTTAAGTCACTCTGTTTTTATGAGCCTTGGTGTCTGATCTGTGTACCAGCTCCTGGTGTGCACTAGGTACTCAGCAAGTGCTTGGTCTTTAAACAGCAAACCCTGCCTCCTCCTTTCCTTGTTACACAGCCATGATGCATTACATGTAAAATGGAGTGTTTAGCCTGGGAGCTGTGCAGAGCAGTCTAGAAGCAACAGGCTTGCAGCTGTCCTGTAAACCTGGTGTCTCTTCCCAAGAGGTGAGCAAGAAAAGGGGAGAAGTTTGACTCTTAACCAAAACGTACCAGGTTAAGCCAGGAAGCATGTGAGTGAGGCAGCTGCATTCCTGTTTAATAGCAGCTGGTGTGTTTCACTGCATTGGACCCCACGTGGTTTCGAGGTTAGCAAGTCCGTGTTCAGGCGACCCACTTCTGGAATTCGGGAAGGGTCTGTGGCTCCTCTCTGCAACCTTCACAGTCTCCTCAGGCCGCTGGGCTCCTTGGGTCTGTCTTGTTGGGCAGGCACGTGCTGGGCCCCTGCCCTCCGCCCCTCATCTGTGTCTGCTCAGAATGCTCTCCAGGCTTGCTCCCCCGTCCCCGACCTGGGACTTCAGAGGCTGAAGATGCTTTGGAAGTCCTTCTCCATGAGTGGGAAGGGGAGGGATCAGGATCTGTTTTGCTAACAGAATCCAAATGTTCCCCTGCAGCTTGTTTGGGGTTGAGGGGTGTCTGGATGGCTTGAACAGATGAGATGCACGGGAGCTTTAAGACCTCACTCCAGCCAGGCTCGGTGGCTCAGCCTGTAATCCCACGTCTTGGGAGGCTGAGGTGAGTGGATTGCCTGAGCCCGCGGGTTCGAGACCCTCCTGGGCAACTTGGCAAGACCTCATCTCTACAATAAATTAAAAAAAAAATTAGCCAGTTGTGGTGGCGCGCGCCTGTAGTTCCGGCTACTTGGAAGGCTGAGGTGGAAGGATCGCCGGAGACCAGCAGGTCGAGGCTGCAGTGGCCGGGAGCATCCCAGTCTGGGCGACAGAGTGAGACTCCAACTCAAAAAAAAAACAACCTCCAGTCCCCTCCTCTCTCTCCGCCCACCCATCCCAATTCTTTCCAACATCAGAGCTGGAACCCCTGGTAGCAGTGACCCTCCCCCCTTTGCAGGAGACTGGGAAGTGTGGGTGACTGCTCTGGCAGATCTGCTGGTATGCGCAGGTGTCTGGGGCTGCTGGTCACATGGTTCCTTCTGTCTTTGTAGAACGAGCACTGTCAAGATATGGCCACTGCTTGGGAAGGTCTTCAGCAGCTGGCATGGCACCTCCGTTCCAGGCAGAGCGCACTCGCAGGAAATGGGCTTTTCTGGAGTGGAGGCCACCCCTAGACGGCGGTGTCACCATGTGTGGCTCCTCCACATAGCCTGAGAGCAGAGGTGTGGGCGCCAGTGGAATAATAGCCCGAATCACGGCTGGCGGTCTCTCTAGCCAGTAAATGTCCTGTCTGCTTGATAAAAATACCACCCCTGGCCCACAAAGCCCACAGTTCTAATGGGAGGACACAGTCTGCTGCCATGCCCAGCCAGCCCCCTGCTGCCAGCATGCCATCTCTAGTCACCACTGCCTAGGCAGGCCTATCTTTTATATCAAAAAAACACCTGTCACTCGTAAGTGACAGGTACATGCCCAAGCAATATGGCATGAGGAGGCTTGGTGTGGCATTTTATTTATTTATTGAGTCAGGATCTCACTGTAGCCCCAACTGGAGGGCAGTGATGTGATCGTGGCTCACCACAACCTTGACCTCCTGGGCTCAGGCAGTCCTCCAGCCTCAGCCTCCAGAGTAGCGCGTGCCACCACGCCCAGCTACTTTTAAAATTGTTTTGTAGAGACGGGGTCTTGCTGTGTTGCCCAGGGTGGGTACTTTAAAAGTAACTGACAGTAAGTGCAGCAATGTGTTTTGCTGCGTGTTTGATGCACTGCTGGGCATTGTGAAGTGCTTCCCCAATGAGATGGGAGGGAGGCGAAGGCAGCACAGCAGGGTGTGGCCACGGTGTATGAGGCAGCCCCGGGTGGGGGGCTGGGGGTAGGGAGCCAGCGGCCGCAGACACCTGGCTGCTCTAGTGGCCATGCCTGCGCGACGTGTCGGGTGAAGAGAAATGGTGTCTTGTTCACACTAGAGCGGGCTCGGTGCCCGAGCAAGGCTGGTGCCCGAGAGGTGTCCACTAAGTGGACAGACATACCACTCGGAAGAAACCCCAGCAGAGTCTGCCTGCTGGGTCCCAGGGTGCAGAGCTGGTTCCTCCATTCGGAACGTGCCACCCCTTCGCCAGCCTTTGGGTAAACTAACAGCACAGTGAGCAGAGTCGTGGCCCTGGCCTGTGTGGATGTGGACTCCCCTCTTGGGCTTTCCGCACCTGCACGACTTACTGTGAGGACTGGCTGGGAGATGTTATGCATGACAGCTGGGGCACAAGTGGCACCTGGCATGGCTTTGAAGGCTGCTATTCTTTTTACCACATGGACTTTTGTACTGAAAGATGTCTGAGTGAGCTTACCATCTCAATCGGACCAAGGCTGAAGTCATGACTGTAGATGTGAGCTCCATTGTTTCCATGGTAGCTGAAGCTTGGGTGTGAAATCCATATGGACAAGGGGAGCATCTTGGTCTTTGCTGGGGTGTCACAGAGATCAGAGATTGGTCTCACTTGGCCAGCTGATCTTTCTAAGACCAAATCAAGTCTTGATGAATTTAAGCCTCAATCACAGATTCCATGAAGACCTTAGTCAACATACCATTTCCTCTAGAAATGAGCCTAGCCCATCCCGGCAGAATCAGAATGCATACAAACAGCATGCCTTTGCCTATAAGTGTTTTAATGATGTGAAAAGATCTCCTAACTGCTACAGACAGTTGTGTTCAGGACAGACCTTTGACCTGGAGAAGAGAGGAAGGGTTGTGTGTAGAAAAGGGCACCCCAAGATTGGCCTCTGGAAATTGTAATTGGCCCAACCCTGAAGCCCCTAAAACTAGGCCAGTACTTGCTTGATTCTTCCTGAGAATTGGCAAAGATGTCACATCCCACCTTGTCTCACCATCTCCTATCCACAGAGTAGCCCACTGGCTTTCAAAAGTGAAAAAGCAAAAATGTAAACTGTCTAGGCCTGAGACTATTATGTACTCATGAATAAATGCTTGGATTTCTGGAATTGTTGGCTGGTTCTGGGCTGTGTGTGCCACCATGCCCCTCTGGCTCACCCGCTGGCCTGTGAAGACCTCCAAGGAAGGAAGAACAGATCAGATGTAGACCATTCCTTTTGTCATCCAGCGGTGACACAGGAATTCCAGGACCCAAGCCATGGTGCTAACTAAAATAATTTATCTGAGGTTTCCAGCTACACTTCTGAAAACACTAAGGGAGGCAGTGAAAACCAAATGTTTATATGTCACATAAAAGAGTTTAACACAGATGCTCTAAATTGTTCATACAAATAGTTTCCGCACCTATTAAACATTCGACTTAAGAAATAGCTGTGTTGTTGCTCTACTTTTTCAGAAAGACTTCTTTAAAAAGCATGTGCATCTCTGCCTCCCTGCGAGGCACTTGGGGGAATCCAGGCCCTGCCCTGACTGGGTCGGTCCCGTCTGCTGGCCTGAGCCCAGAATTCACTGGAGCCTGCTAGACCCACTGGCTCGCATTCCACACAGCCAGGCTGCTCTGAGCTTGGTTGTCTCCCTCCCCGTCTTGGCTCTGTTGGTTGCCGACCCACCCCCATCTGCAGATGGCCCAGGAGCACCTCCAGGGAGCATGTGCTCAGGGAGAACCCCTGGGGAGCACATGCTTGGAGACCTGAGGGAGCACTCAGAACATAGCTGGGGAGCATCCCAGGAGTACATGCTTGGGGAGCACTCTTGGAGGGGTGTTCTCAGGATCTCTGCGGAGACTTCTCAGGGAGGATCTCGGGGAGTACCCCAGGAATATGTGTTTGCGGGGACCCCTGGGGGCAACGTGCTCAGGGAGAACCTCTGGGGAGCACCCTAGGAGTATGCTCAGGGGTGCGTGGGCAGGGCACTGGGGCTGAACAGAAGCCTGGCACCTGGCTTGTCCACGCTGGCATTGAGGCTCCCCGCATCCCTTGGGGGCCCGGGCAGGCAGGTGCAGCCCACGGCGACGGTGATGTAGTCCTCGGTGTAGACAGCGCGGCCCCCGGCGCAGGCACTGCTGCGGCGCAGCACCACGGCAGGCGCGTAGACAGGCACGCTGCGGAAGCGCAGGTCCTCCTCCCCTGCGGGCCCGGTCAGGCAGCCACGGCACAGGCAGTAGGCCTCAGGCAGGTGCCGCGGAAAGCGCGCAGGGTCGTAGGAGATTCTGCAGGGAGAGAGGCGGTGAGCAGCCCCGGCCCAGAATTGCGAACCATCTGTCCGGCCACTGGTTGGATCAGGGGTGGGCGAGGCCTAGCATTTCCGTCCTCAGGGACAGGATCCGCACAGGACCCAGCCCACAGCAGCTTGCAGGCTGTGCCAGCGAGAGGAAAAGCGGGAGATGCTGGGTGCAGTGGTGTGCCTGTCATTCCAGCACTTTGGGAGACTGAGGTGGAGGATTGCTCGAGGCCAGGAGTGCCAGAACAGCCTGGGCAACACAGTGGGACCCCGTCTTGAAAAACACAGAAACCCAAACTGTTGAAGCTCCTGTTTCCCCATTCTGCCATGGGGTCTGTGCGTGCAGAGAGCTTTCTCTGACCCAGGGATGGGGGACGCCATCCACCACTGCTTCCTCAGCCTCCTCTCCTCCCAGCACACCTCTCTTGCTGGGGATGCTAGTGTGAGGAGGTCTCCAACGGCCTCTGCCTCACCTGCGGAGGCCTTCAGCTGGTGGGCAAACCCCCTCCGGTGCCCTATGCCTGTGCCAAGCACTCCCAGTAGACCTCCCTGCAGCCACAGCTAGGCGGTGCCCAAGACACCCCCCCCACCCCAGTGTCTACCAGGTTTCAGTCCAGTTAAGTCAGCACGTAACTGAGGCACCAGGCAAGCAGCCACAGGTCCTGGTGTCCACCTTCCCATGGAGACAGGATGACACCCTGATGTGCCCCGAGTTGTCGTGGGGGCTCAGACCCCACGGAGGACCCCACCGGTGGATCCGCCTGCAGCAGACCTGGGCTTCACTGCCATCCTCTGTCCCGAGCCTTTGGTGGGAGGGTTGGAGTCACTCCTCCCAGCAAGCTAACTTTTTTTTTTTTTACCAACCCCAAACCTTTAAACACAGCTTCTTTTCCTTAACCAACTGCAAATCAAAACTCTTGACTCCACCCATGGCCTGTGAGCCCCCCCTTCAAGACATTTGCCCTTGTAGGCTTAAACCAGGGTGTGGCCTGATTGATTCGTGGCTTTCTGTAGCTTCTCCCCTGGGGAAGTCTGCCCCTGCCTTCACACACCCCGTTGGGCTGTCTGCAGCGAGTGCCTTTCTTCCCAGGATTGTACACTTAGTGTGGACGTCTGGCGGTGCCACATAGACGGGCAGACTCCCCTGCAGTTCCGTGACACTGAGAGCACCCACCCAACCCACAGCGCCAGGGTGGTTTTATCCAGGTGAAGGAAGACGGCATGCACGTGGGGCAGAGGTCTGAGCGCGAGACCAGGGACTGCCACAGCCAGAAGTGCAAGGAGAAAGGCCCCGGCAGGGGAGAGCCTGGGCAGCGGTGGGCTGCATGGTGGAGGTAGCGAGCTTAGTCAGGGATCTGGGTCTGGCCCTGAGGGTGTGGGAGGGATGCCCCAGGGGAAGCGACCCAGCCAGACGGGGTTTGAGAACCAGCCCTCCCACCCAGGCTGGTCGCACGCACTGGTGAATGAGGCAGGTCAGAAGGCCCAGGGCCTAGCAGCCTTTGAGGAAGAAGTCTGGCCGTGCAGACCGCCAGGAGCAGGGTGTGCCTCTGCTGGGGCGAGAAGGGCCTGTGCCTGAGCCAGGCCGAGCTGGTTTCCGGAGTGCAGGGCGGAAGCGTGGTGTGAGTGACACGTGCAAGCGTGAGCCACAAAGCGCAGCGTGTAGGAGACTCAACAGAGAAAAACAGGGGGGACCCGCACTTCACAGGAGCCCTGAGTACAGGGACACATTCCAAGTGTCCTGGCTGTGTGCATCCACCGCCTGGGGGCTGTGTCTCGTCTGGATGACCAGCGAGGTGGCTGCTTAAAAACAGACCAAGTGTAGCTGGGGGCTCCTAGGCAGTGGCTGTCGGTGGAGAGTGTTGTGGAGGGCTTGCTTCTGGCCATGAGCAACTTGCAGGGTTACAAGGTGACCTTTGGGACCCTGAACGTTTTTGAAACGACAGTTTCAACAACCCTTCGAAGTCAGTCCGGGAGATGGGAACCTGCCTGAGGGTCTGCAGCTGCCAGGCGGCACTGACCTGTGGGTGTCAGGCACTGGTGTGTGGCCTGTCTGATCCACTGGGGACAAGCTCAAGACGCGGGACCAGAAGTGTCTGGCCATGGCGGGGTGCTTGGCTCGAGTGAGCGACAGGTGGTCCTGCTTAATCCAAGAACAAAGGCCGAGTCCTCCAGGATGATTAGAGGTGATGGAAACTGGCGCAGGGGCACGCGGGTGACAGCCGGGACAGAAAGAGCCCTGCCGGGCGGGCGACACAGTCGGAAACAATTCCAAGCGGTTCCGGAGCTCGAAAACAATGCGCACATGCAGGGGAGGACCCGGCCACCTGGCATGGCTCTCCTGAGGCCCGAGTGTGGTGGCCTTCACTGGCGCGTGCGTGTGCACACATGCTCACACGTGCACACACGCCTTGACGGGGCTCCCTTCCCCTTGGCAAAGCATGAACTTCACTTCAAAGCTGCAGAGGCTGAGCCACTCGCCGCTCTTGTAGAGACCAAAAGGCCCAGCCTGGGAGCAAGGAGGGGAAGTGCCGCCTTGGTCCCGACAGGAACCCCCGAGGACCCAAATGGCCCCAGGCCTGGGAGAGGCCAGCAGGGTCCAGTCAGTGACCTCACAAGTCACCCCACCTGGGCCTCTGCAGGGGAGGAGGCTGCAGGCCGGGCGTGGGCCACGCCGGTCAGTGTTCTGTGCCCAGAAAAGACACTGGCGGCACAGGGCGTCCCTCAGGCCTTGGGAGGTCCTCCCAACGGGTCTCCAGTATGCGTACATCAAAGCAGGCCCCGGAAGACTCCTCTGTGAACCTGGCAGGCTGGTCCCACAATTCATAGGGACAGAAGAGGGCCACGAAGAGTCTGGACCACGTAGAAGAGGAGCGAGGGGACCAGCCCACTCCATCTCAGATCTTACACAGCCATGGCAGTACCAAGACACTGCGGCCCTTGGGGACACGACACAGCCTCCCCGGGAGCTGAGAGGCCTCTGAAATCAAACACCCCTTGTGGCCTGACATAAGAAGGCGGCACAAGTAAGTATGCAAAACGGGTTTGCAGACCACCTGCAGAGAACCACAGGGGCCTGAGGTAGAAACGCAGGTTCTTAGTCTTCACACCCCGTCTTCGCCACACAGAATCAGCAACACCCCACACCGAGGGCCAAGAGCCCTGTCGTGCTCATTATAGCAGGAGGGCACCAGCTCGGGTGCGTCAAAACGAGTTCCCAGATGCACCAGGCATGTGAGGTGGCTCCCTGGGGGTACCTGGCCCTAGGTGGGGGCGACTCCCCAAGGGGCACTCGGCCCTTGGTTGGGTGTCACGCCCCAAGGGGTGTTTAGCTGGTAGCCCGAGTCCCCGCACTCCAGCTGGCGGCCACGCATCACTGACCCGCCTCTCCCAGACGTGAGTGTCTCAGTACCATCAGTCCAGACATCCCGCTGCTGGCCTGATTCATACGGAACATTATCGTGACCCTGTGAGCCCCAGTGTTGCAAGAGTGGCCTCCCTGGGGCACCTAAATGGGGAGCTTTTAAGAAACATGACCGTGGGTCCCCCACCCCTGAGATTCTGAGTGGACTGTTCTGGAGTGAGGTTGGGGGTCTGGTATTTTTTTTAGAACGCTCAGATAATTCTACAAGACGGGTCCGGCGTAGACCAGCTGTCCCCATGACTGAGAGAAGTGACATGTCTCTGGAACAGGGGCTGTGTCCCCTTCCAGTCTCTCTTTGAGATGAGCTCTGCTGCTGAAGGTGACACAGCCCCTGTCCCAGAGAACAACCCACTTAGAGTCTCAGGGGTGGGGACCCAGAGACAGTTATGGGACCAAAGGGAGGGCAGGGTCAGTGCGCAGGAGCACCCTGAGAGCACCCGACGCCCGCGGGAGTATCCTTCCTGCCTGAGAGCACCTTGCCCCCGTGGGAGCATCCTGCCCACCTGAGAGCACCCTGCTTGTGTGGGAGCACCCTTCCCAGTGAGCCAGCCCTGGGCAGTGTGGCAGCTCCCCGCACCTGTCCACTCCACACTCCTTCCACCCGCTCAGGCCCTGGGAGCCAAGGAGCTTTGGACGTGCTGCCAGAAAGCTCTGGAAAATGTCTTTCTGTCCCCCTCACCCACCCCGTGCACATACCTGTGGTGAATTTCTCACCAGGGGGACATGGAAAAACCAGCTAGGACTGCAGTGGGGCCTGGCCCAGGCACCCTCCCCGCTGGCTTCGCCTGGCCGGGGACAGTTAGGGTCAGTCCTGTCCTCATCGGGGCGGATGCTGGCTCCGCTGTGGCCCTGGCAGCAGGGTCGGGGCACCAAGAGGAACCTGGCTGCCACGCCAGCTATGCTGCCTCAAGGCTCCTGGGAACAGAAGGCTCGCCCTGCCTGCCCTGCTCGTGAGGAAACTGAGGCACCAGGGTGGGGCTTGTCTGCCTCCCAGCTGTCCCTGCTGGTCCAGGTGCTATGGCTGTGGGTCTCTGGGCACACGCCAGCACTTGTTGGATTGCAAGCGGGATGGCAAATCCGTTGGACCCGGGCGCTTGGCAAGGGTGAGGAGGACTTGCTGTGGAGGGCACTCGGGCGATGGCTCGGGAGACAGATGCCAGGAGCGCAGGGCAGGCGCGCCCACGGTCCTCGCGGGGGCCCTCCTATCATGGCAGATGCCACACAGCCAGCATGGCTGGGAGCATGTCTTCCAAGGGGAGACGCATCTCACGCTGCAGACGCGTCAGCCGTCTGTCCTGGACGCCAGGGATCTGGGTCCGGGCTGCCCCTCTGAAGCGTCCATCCTTGGGAGGCGGGGAGGCACCCACCTGACCCCAAGAGTCAGCTGTCCACGGAGTTGTGAGGATGCTGGCAGGACCCTGGCTGTGGAAGGGTCTCGGGGGCGGCCTCTCCTTGACCTCGCGCTAGTTCAGGGGGTGTGGCACTCGCAGCCGCTCCGCACACGTCCTTTCTTTATCATCCCCGGAGGACAGGCGTCACAGGAATGTCACTCTGTGGCATGTGTGGAACTTCCTGGACTCGCCCTGTGCCCTGCTGGCTTCAGGGCCACATTCTCTCCAGGTGAGGGCCCAGCTGAGTGAGTCCTGTCCTTACCCCCTTGTGAGGACGCAAGCCCATGCCTGGGGAGAAGCATCATCAAAGCCAGGCGCCGGCCGCTATTTCCAGACACTCTAATCCCGCGACAATGTCCCATGACAATGCCTTTATTTTTACTCTGCGTGCCAGGGGTGGGTGCAGCGGCACAGGCTCCATTTGAGAAGCTCAGGGGAAAAGTCGTCTGTCAGGGCTCTGGGCAGTTCAAGGTCACTCATCCACAAAAACACGCTTGGGGACAGAAAGTCCTGATGTGTCTTAAATAAGCTGCTTGGAACAGTGAGCGGCTCCTTTTTTGCAAGAGTGAATGATGGTAAGTGACGCCTACCCACGTCTCCCCTGCCATGACCGAGCCCCCTCCGCTCCTGTTCTTTCTCCAGCAGAGGAGGGACACCAAACCAGTTGAGGCACCACCCAGACAGGCCTGGGGGACATAGGATGACCCAGAGCTTGGGAAAAAGTGAACAAATAAGGAGGAACAGGGGAAGGACCGAGAAGACTTCCCGACCCGGGTTCCAGAGACCATGCGGACAGCAGCCCAGCGCAGGAGGCTACGGTTCCAGAGACCAGGCGGACGGGAGGCCCAGGGCGGAGGCCACAGTTCCAGAGACCACACAGACAGCAGCTCCGGGCAGAAGGCGAGACCTTGCGGACGGGAGGCGGGAGGTGATGGCACCAGAGACCATGCAGATGGCGGACCAAGCGGGAGATGATGGTTCCAGAGACCATGTGGACAGACAGCCCAGGGTGGGAGGAGACGCCGGCGCTGCCGACGGCCACAGTCAACCAGCAGACACCTTTGGGCCTGAGACGGGCAGGCCTGTGGGGTCGTCTGGTAGGCCTGTTGGTGCTGGCAACACCTCTGAAGGGCGGCAGGAGGGCGGGCATGGGGTCAAGGTTCTTGGGACTCCTCCCGGGAGGGCCACGGCAAGACAGCGTTCTCCAGCTTCATGGTCCCTTTCTCACATCTGCTGTCGTGGTCTTCTGTGATCACTCTCAGGAGACTGGTGGGAAGCAACATGCAGGATGCCCTGCAGCCTGTCGGCGTGGGCTTCATGGCTCTCAGTTGCATCCCGGCCCAGGCACCAGGTGCAGTCAACGTATGACACGTGAACACGGGGAAGTGGCCGGTGGAGACGCCTGAGGGCGGGGGACCTCTGGGCTAGCTGAGTCGCAGGCTCCGAGGACAGAGAGTAGACACGGCCGGCCTTCCTGCTGCAATGTCACAGATGCACCCTCTTATTCGAGGATGGGCTCCTCGGTGAGGGCCTCGCTGGCTGCCCACGTGCTGGGCACGGCGTCAGAAGCCATCTGGGCTTTCCCTGCTGGGTGAGTGGAATCTGATGGGCAACTCACTAGGTGCTCAGGTGGCTCTGAGCCCATGTCCGTCCAGATGCCACAGCTGAGAGCCTTCCACGCGACACCCCGGGATGTGCTTCTCCTACTCCCCCTTCCCGGTGTCCCCCGAGAGTTCCGGCATCTTGTGCCTTTCAGCTGGCGCCTCGCCTGTCCTGCCCCACCGGGTGGCCGTGTGTGGCTGTGTCTGAGTCCCTCCCCGCCTTCCCTCGGTGCTGCAGCGTGAACGTGCCCCAGAAGCTCACGTGTTGAAGGCTGAGGGGGCATCCCGCCATGCGGGGCGGTGCCAGGTCAGGAGGGCGCCTGCCCTCTGCCACATGCCTTCCCCTCCCACCACGGGCAACCCTGTGGACGCTGGCGCCATGCCCCTGGATGCCCCAGCCTCAGAGCCGCCAGCCGGGAAATTTCTGTTCCCTGGAGGTCACCCAGCCTGCACTGTTCTGTCAGGGCGGCAGAAAACGGACGAAGACACCCGTGCCCATTTCTGTGTTTTTCTTTCCATTTGCTCCCCCATAGTGTCGGCTGTTCTTGGAGCTGTTTATTGTAAAATAAATGAAGGTGCACCTCTTAAATTACCCAAAGGAAAAAGAGTTTTAAAAGTAGCACAGCCTAAAAATAAATTACTGTGTACTATTCACATCCTAGTGAATAGATATCTTGAGGCTACTCCC